TCAAAACTGTGATTGAGTTGTCCAAGGTCTTTATGCACTTTGAACGCTAGTCCCTCACCACCTCGGCGGGTTCCACTGTTCCCTTTCATTTTGCTGAAGGCTCTTCGGCTGTGCAGACATTTGGTTTGAGGCCATCCCGTTTGTTGATCTTTGCTTTTGCTTTCAGTCCTTTTGGGATCATAACCAACAAAGTCATTGCAACACCAACATCAAGGGCTTTTTTCCCTCTGTGTTTGCTTCTGGTTTTACTGTTTTCGGTCTAAAGTATTCAGCCCATTCTCACTGATGCTGTGTGTCTATTCTGAATGCCAGCTTTCTTTGAGGTGTATTTTTCTAATGTGGCTATCCTTCCCCTCACTTAATGAATGTTTTCTGTTTATAAACACAGATTTTTAACTTTAACCAGTCAAACCAATCTTTTCATGTATCTTGTTTAACAAAGATATTATCCTATAGCACATTCTAGAAATATTCTTGTCTTAGTCTTTCTATTTACATGTGTGTGCCTAGAATTGATTTACATTTGATCTGACATGGGGGTCGATTTCATTGCACCCCTCACCCCAGACGGATATCCCAGTTGTCCCTGCACTATGGACTGAAAAGGCCAGTCTTCCCCTCAAGCCCTGCTGTGCCAACTTTAATTAAGTGATCTCTGATGAGTGACTCTTTCTATTCTGGGTCAACTAGGCTCATGGGGAGAAAAGAGGCACCAAAAGCCAACTTTTTTTCCCTTGAATGTTCTTTCGTTCTCAGATCTTTCTTCATAGTTCCTTATGGTCTTGGTAGCATTGCAACTACTTAATAAAGAATTACTTTATAAAGAATTTTTTAATGCCTAAAAATATTTGTTGTTGCTGTCAATTGAATCCACTGGAATAAGCCATCTAGTACCCTGTCCCTGTTCCTGATATTTAACTTTTATTATTTGAACAAAGCAGACAAGACAGGCAAAGAGGAAGAGAAGCAGAAGACTGAAAGGGAAGCACCTTAACAAAGCATGCGGCAAGCCTCTGTCACAAGCCTCCCGCTTCCGGCTCTGGGCCCTAACTCATTTCTTAACCTTGTTTAACTGAGGTGCGTGCAGGAGAAGCCAGGCTGCTGTTGCTGTATCTTCTTATACAACTTGCAAAAGTTGCTTATTCATTCATTTACTTAACAAATATTTGACTGACCATTGTGTGCCAAGGACTAAGAGGTTTGATAATAAAAAACAACAAAACCTGAAACATGCAAGAAATGGCTACCTTTCTTTGAAGAAAATATTGTCACAATTGTGAACATAGGTTTGAGAGAAGTTGACAAGGATTTGTAATCTACTTCTGTCACTTAATGACCTTGTGATGTCAACAACTCTACTTCCTCTAATATAATACAAGATAATTTTATCCAGTGTGATGGGTGAAGAAGCCTTAGGATAATCTTGATTTGCATTTCCCCCATGACTGGCCAGACCAAACCATATGTGTTTATCTACTATGAAATTTCTTGTTGGTTGTTTTTCTAAAAAATCATTTTTAATTGGATATCATGTGCTTTCAAAACAAATGATCTACATCAGTGTTTCCCCCTGGAAACCAACCCTTTGTTTATACGTGTGTTTCAGAAACCATACCCTCCATCCTTTGCAATTTGTTTTCTTTCATTTATGTTGACATATCTTTCCTGAATATAAGTTCTATATTTTAGCATCATCAAATTTGGCATTTTTTACTATTAGATAGAACTGATTTTTCTTGGCTACCTTAAAGTAGCCAAGTCTTTTGATACCTTAAAGTCTAAAAGATGATCATCTGCATTTTCTTCTAAGAGGCTTGAAATTTTAATTTTAAGTCCTTAATCCAGTTAGGTTTGACTTTGTATCCTGTGTGCTAATGGTTCAAGGTCATCATTTCCCAGCTCCACTCACTGCTTTCAGATTGATTCAGGTTTCTGTGCTGATTACTGGAGAGAGCCTTCAGACATTTTACAAAGTACAGAATTGGGAAGTTATCAGGTCTCAAGACATTTTACAAAGTACAGAATTGGGAAGTTATCAGGTCTCAAGACATTTTACAAAGTACAGAATTGGGAAGTTATCAGGTCTCAAGACATTTTACAAAGTACAGAATTGGGAAGTTATCAGGTCTCAAGACATTTTACAAAGTACAGAATTGGGAAGTTATCAGGTTAGCAAAGTCAGGAAGAACTTGCCATCAATATACAAAATGTTTTTAGGCTGAGCTGTGAGAAGATACTGATGAGGCAATGAAAGAATGTAGGCCTCTCTGTAAACAGTTTTAGAATCCTCACCATTTCATTTTTATAATTTCAAAGTGTTCTGCATGCAGAATACTCTGGAAATATTTTATACACCTGTTAGGAATATACACACTCCTTTCTTTGTTTCTTAATTTCCTCCCAAAATTCCCAAATAAATTACTTCTGGATATATCAAACTTCTTAGTGTTGATGGAATAAAGGAATGATCCCTCCAGATATCCATATCCCAACCCCCAAAACCTCTAAATATGTTGTCTGAAATGACCAAAGAGCCTTGTAGTTGTGAATAAGATAAGAATCTTGAGAGAGGAATATTATCCTGGACTTTCTGGTTGGGTTCAGTATAATCATAAGGGTCCATCCTTATGAGGGAAAGAGGGAGACAGAGAGTTGATCATGACCCAGAGTGATGGGGGACCATGGACCCAGGCATTTGGCAGCCTCAGAGAATGGGAAAGCAAGTGGTGGATTTTCCCCTAGAGCCTCTGGAAAGATTGCGACCATCCTGAATTTAGCCCAGGAAGACCCATTTGGATACTGACCTCCAGAAATGCAAGACACTAATTTTTTAAAGTCACAATGTTTTAAGTCACAATGTTTGTGAGTACAGACATAGCTCATACTTCCTTCCCATCCTTCTGTGATTGAGCTTGACATTGATGTGGGTTTCATAATGACCTTCCTTGGAGCTCTCTCATATTCCTTGAATTAATCTACCTATGATATTGTAGAGTCTGGGCCGAGAGTCCAGTATTTCTCTTAAACACACACACAAAATCTAAGTGTGCTGTTTCTGAAATCTGTGTCATACAGAAGAATTCAATGCTCCAGCACTGATTTTCTGTTTACTTTTTGGATTGTGCTTAGTTTTAGGATGGACAACAGTCACCTAAATAAAATTGGAAGTATCATAAGTGACCATGATAGTGATGGTCAAGCTACAACATAAAGCTTGCTTGTAGATCGTCACAAAACAATGCTCTAAATCTCTTCCTTCTTCGGGCACCCCATGTCATTCAGCCATACCATGAGGCATGTCTGTTTTGGGGGTCAAGGTGGTATCTAACAGTGTGGTGCCCTTTTTGAAGCTGGTCTCATCCAAACCTGGGGTGGGGCCCAGCGATACCTGCGGCCTGGACTCTACATCAGTCCTGGGGGAGCTCTCAATGTAGGCTTAGCCTGGAATCCCACCCTATTGTCTTGCTGCAGGGTTTAGGTTTTCATGAGTGAGGAAAAACATGCAGCCTTTTAGTAAGGGAAAGCCAACAGAGAGACCAACTCTTGGGGCAAGACAAGCACCAACGTGAATGCTGGCTGTGTTTAGCCAAGCACTGCACTGGGCGCTCCTGTGCCCTGTGTCTTATGCTTTCACTGGCAAGATCAACTGCCAAATATATGCATAGTAGATGCCTTTCAATATTGAGTCCTTTGAACTCCCTGTTCCACTTCTTTAAACAGAGTTAAACAGAACAACCTTGTGGGCGATGGTCTGTTTCTCTAGGCTGGTCTGTTGGTGCCAACTCCAGTTTTGGTCACAGCTGGATTGCTGGTCTCGAGGCGCTTAGCCAGAGTGCATCTGGGAAGATCACCGCACTGCTGGCCCTCTGCCCTGTCAGGCCTGGGGGACTTCTGCCCTTCCCAAGGAGGGGACCTGGTCACTGACATTTCTTTTCCTTCCCAGTAACAGACCAGCCTGCATTATCACCAAGTGATTGAGTTCACTATTTTCTTTCTTGGAAGATCAGGTGTTCCCTTTCATAGTGCCACCCCCAACCTGCTGTGGCCTCTGAGGGTGCTTACTCCTTTTTCTGTTTCTTCCCTGCTGGGCCCAGAAACTGAGGTTCTGATTTCCTTCAGTTGATTGGTGTTCCTGTGCCCAAACTCAGGGTCCCATTTGACCCCTTTAGGTGTTCCAGAGGCTGAAGTGGGAAAGGTTGCTGTGCCCACTCGCTGTGATGCATTGTCACATGATCGACTCAATAGTGTTTTGACCTGGAAAAGTTGGTTCCAAATTTGGGTGCAAGTGAAATTTGACTGCACACCACAGAGTGTGGCTTAATCCCTTCTTGCCATTTGTGTAGGTTTCCAGAAGAATGAGGACATCCACAAATGTCGTTTCTGTGACACTAACAGATGTTTCTAGATGAGCCTCCCACAACATAGATCCAGGTCTGTCTGGAAACTCAATCGACACCCAAATACTTCAAGGACATGATTGTTTCAGTGGTTGAAAAGAGATGAGCCCCATCATTTACTGGGGCTCTCAAGGTGTGAAGACTGGTACCCAAAGCAGAGAGAATGGATTTGGGAAGAATTTTTCTAACAAAAGGTGATTTGCAGGTGGGCGTTTCTCCTGCTCACCTTCCCAGGTCTCAGTGCTTGCAGTGAGCTGTGACTAAATGTGGAACTCAAGCCTGGGCACCCCCCACCCCGACATCGTAGATCATTTTACTCATTGATTCCCCTAGATCTGGGGTTATTGGAGGACTGGAGCTGACATGCGTGAAATGCAAAGCAATCATAGAAACAAGACACAACACAATGTAAGTGACAATTTGGCAAAGACTTTATTAGGAAAAAACCAGGTCATGGGCGCCCTTTCGGGCAGGGAGATAACACAGCTAACACAGCGTTGCCATCAGACAGACAAGGAGGAGCAGGTTGATGGACATAGTGATGCCAAAAAGACCTATAAAGCAATGGTGTTTTCCTTTACTTTCTTTCATGTCTAACTTCCTTAGAGTGTGGAGGCTGAGGCCACGGCTGCAGGCGAGACATGGCTGGCCAGCACCCCACTCAGGGGAGAACATTCGTGAAGAAGGCTGAACTTGGTGAGCAAGGTCGTATCTGTGAGCAAGATGAGCATCAGTCTGGTGAGCGTGTGTCTGATACCAGCAGGGAAGGGGACAGAGTGCCACAGGAGTGGCAGCTCTGAGGTGGCGGTCACTCCGCCTTGGCAGTGGGTCTGTGGTGGAAGCATCAGCAGCAGCAAGGCTGGCAGCAGCTGGTCACGCAAGTCGGCCTGCAGCAGGTGGTCCTACAGCAGGTAACTTGACAACAAGATGGGGGGCAGCAAGGTGGGGGGCAGCAAGGCTTGCAGCAGGGGGTGCAGCAGGGTGGGGGGCAGCAAGGCTTGCAGCAGGGGGCGCAGCAAGGTGGGGGGCAGCAAGGCTGGCAGCAGGGGGCGCAGCAGCTGGTCACACAGGTTGGCTTGCAGCAGGTGGTCGTGCAGCAGCTGGGCTGGCAACAGGGGCTGCAGCAGGAGCAGGTCATGGTGTCAGGGGTGTTAGGGGTGTTGGGGGGTCACTGAGTAGAGACAAATTTCCCAGAATCTGAAATCAAGTTCTCTACCAGACCTTTTATACAGAAAGCTCCAAATTTTGGACCAATGAACAGAATTTTCCTGGTTATTATTTGGGACTTTTTTTTTATTATTATTATCGAAATAAAATTGCCCAAGAAGGAAGCGTTGCATAAGATTAAAAATTTCCTGAAAATAAAAGGTTGGATTATTCTTAATTAAGAGCTAACCATAAGAAGTTCAGAACTGGAAATGACAATCAGCATCAATAACTTCATTAACTATGAATCACCTTTTTAAAGAATGAGTATGTTCTAGGGTCATCTGCCACATCAACCTAATTTGGAGAAGAGGTCAGAGTCTGTAATCACCCACTTGTTTCTCCCTCAGTGCTCATCATATTGGGCTAAATCTCTGGAGCTGGAATATGTGTTGGTAGAGTCCAGGTGATCAATCCGAGTCATATTTTAACACATTTTGTACTAAAAATGTGTTTGAGCAAGGTTTTCATCTGTATCATGTAAAATTCAATGATAGATAATTCTATTCGGAGCAAACAGAGCCACTTGGATACTCATTTCCTGCAACAGGGGATTGAGATTGACTGAAATTGACATGAACTTTTTCATCCTGAGCTCCAAATATATTGGCAGACCTGATAACTAACTTACGTATCTGCCCTCCCCTCTGAATAATTCAGCCTAGAAGAAAAAGAGGCATCTGACTGGGATAGGGATGACTTGCTTTGCTTTAAAACTGACTATTCACATAAAAAAATTAACTGAGGGTCCTCCCTGGTGGCACAGTGGGTTAGAGCACAGCACTAAGAAGCTAAAGCCACTTTCAGCATGAGTTCGATCCCCACCCTGGAGGTGACCCACATGGCACAGCAGATCTCTCCTGACCCGCCTGCTGCTCCCTTCAGCAGTGTTCTGCCCCCCTTCGCCTGTTCTGCCCCCCACTCTGACTCTGGTGAATCCTGCCCCCCACTCTGACTGGTGAATCCTCTCACTACCCCTGAACCTCTGGCCTGTACCCCAGTGCTGTATGCATAAATAAATAAATCTTTAAAGAAATTAACTGAAATAACTTGCAAGAATAGTTCAAGAACATTCTTCTCAATGAAACTGTACAATATCATTTCTAAAAGTTGGTCCATGTTTCCTGCATCAAGGGTGTTCTCTTCTATAATCAATTCAGTTTCAGTTTTTTTGCTGAAAGACTGGGAATAACACCTTACATGTACATCTTGGTTCACATGCACATGTGTATCTGTTGAATATACATGTTCCTAGAAGTGAAATTGCTCCATCAAAAGGTATACACGTTTAAAATTTTCATAGATACTGTAAAATTACTCTATAAAAATGTAGTCCCTAATTTAGATCCCTGCCATCTGTGTCTAGAAAGTCTGTTTCCTTAAAAGCTCATCAATTTATTAAAATTTTAAATTATTTTAAATTAAATATTTTATATTTACTGTCTCAAATTGCTCAAGGTTATATGCCCAGTTTCTGGAGCAGGACATGCCACAGAAGATGTTCAATAGATGGTTTTATGAAAGGATAAATTATGCAATTAAAAAATGAGTTGTAAGGGAGGAGGAACATCTTTCAAAAGTTTAAATGTCACTTATATTTATTTTTCAGTGAAAATCAATTTAGTGACTTTTTTTCATAGTGGGTTATAATATTTATCTGTATATAGGGAAATTAACTCCTATTCTCTTATATTAGTTAAGGTATTTGTTACTTATTCCACCTTTTTCTTTAGCTTATTGTAAGTTTTTTTTAAAAAAAAAAAAATCAAGCATTTAAATTTTTAGTTTCTTTCCCCTTATTGCCAACAAATGTTGTCTTTAAAAAACTACCCCCACTTCACTTTTATTTTTTAAATAAAAATTTTCCTTCCTTTTAGTACTTTCAATTCATTTTCTCTGGAGTCTTCCAAAAACAAGACACACTGTCCCACTGAGGATTGGTATGAGACCCAGAACCTCACGGATGACTCAGAGAATGTTGAGCTCAATGAGGCATCATATGACAACCAATCTGAAGAGGAAGTTGAAGAGTCTTTGAAATTAGATGATACATATAGGAAAGAAGACGAAGGGGTGACTCAGGGGAAAAAGAGATTGAATTGGATGAGCCCTAACACAGGAGGAGGAAAAACATGCATTCTGTCCAAACTTCAATAGATTCTCTCACAGTTAACTTGATAATTGCCTAATTATGAAGATAAAAATAACAAGGAAATAGCCATTATATGATGACAGTGGCACCTCAGCTGGGTATAAAAGGGGACATGGGATCTAGAGACACCCACATTTGGGAACCTCACTCTCCTGTAAACTCATCTAGAACCTCCACCTACTGACACCATGATCAACTCCTGTTATGACTCTGTCTGCTATGACCAGGGCTGTGGCCAAGACTTCTATGAAGAGGCTTGCGGTGGCCCAACCTGCTGTCAGACTGCTTGTCAGACCACCTGCTGCCGTCCAAGCTGTGGTGGGTCCAGCTGCTGCCGCCCAGTCTGCTGTCAGACCACCTGCCGCCCCAGCTGTGGTGTGCCTAGCTGTGGTGGGTCCAGCTGTGGTGGGTCCAGCTGCTTCCGCCCAGTCTCTGTTCAGATTACCTGCCGCCCCAGCTGTGGTGTGCCCAGCTGTGGTGTGCCCAGCTGTGGCGGGTCCAGCTGTGGCGGGTCCAGTTGCATCCGCCCAGTCTCCTGTCAGACCACCTGCCGCCCCAGCTGTGGCGTGCCCAGCTGTGGTGTGCCCAGCTGTGGTGGGTCCAGCTGCATCCGCCCAGTCTCCTGTCAGACCACCTGTCGCCCCAGCTGTGGTGTGCCCAGCTGTGGTGGGTCCAGCTGCATCCGCCCAGTCATCTGCCAGACCACCTGCCGCCCCAGCTGTGGTGTGCCCAGCTGTGGTGTGCCCAGCTGTGGTGGGTCCAGCTGCATCCGCCCAGTCTCCTGTCAGACCACCTGTCGCCCCAGCTGTGGTGTGCCCAGCTGTGGTGTGCCCAGCTGTGGTGGGTCCAGCTGCATCCGCCCAGTCTCCTGTCAGACCACCTGTCGTCCCAGCTGTGGTGGGTCCAGCTGTGGTGTGTCCACCTGCGGCTGCCCTGTCCTGCAGACTACCTGCTTTGGTACATCTTGCTCTCGCCCCAGCTGTTAAATCTCATATCTGACTAACAACCACGGATCAGCCACCATCATAGTGTGTGGAGATGCCATTAGTTTTAACTTTTTCCTGTTTAAATGACCACCAACTTTATTATGCTGTAATATCCCTCTGGCTATGATGAAAGGACATTTGACTACATTAAGTAGTACTTATGTCATCACTGGATCTTCTCCCTGAATTCAGTCTTCAGAAACATGATGAAGTTGGATAAAGTCCCTGAGTTTTATTATTCTTGCCTTAACTTTCACCATCAAATGTGAACTATCTCTCAATAAATTTATCTTGCTATCTGCAATTATTTTTGAGTGTTGATAATTAGTTTATTTTTCATCATTATTTCTCTTAAAGAGATACTCAGATTTCTATGATTAGAAAAGAAACCTGACTTTTCAAATAGCACTTCATGCCTGGATTGAAGAAAGGACCTTGTCTATATATTAAAAAAAAAAGAAAAAAGAAAAATAAAGAAAAGAAACAAAACAAAACTCAACAACCAAGAATTTTCTTTTTGTACCTTTTTTTTTAATTGCAGTCACATTGATTTACAACACTGTGTAGGATTTAGGTAGGGGTTTAAGTTCACAATTTTTTAGATGTTTCCTATTCAATTAAATAACCAGTCACGTGGCATGTTTATTGAACTGAGGGTAGGGAGGATCTTTCCAAGACATGCAAGTCACAGTTACTCCCTACAGGAGTTCACCATCCAATTTTAGAGCTAAATGGACGGTCCAAGTTGGGCAGTACTGATCAGAAAGGGAAATGCCTGTCCTGGAGAAGGGAAATAGAGAAGGAGTCATTTTTATAATTAGAATAAGTCAGTAAACTTAGGAAAAATGTGAGGGTCACAAACCAATGAGACAAAGAGGCAGAGGGGAAGACAGGAAAGTTTTATAGCTTTGTAATGACAGGAGTGTGCTCAATTAGAAAATATGTTGCCTTTGAGAAAATATAGTGGAGACTAAGTTCTCTTGGCCTCTCCCCAACCTCCTTCCTGTTAATGATACTGTAATGAAAGAGTCATAAGCAAATGAGGAGGCCACTGGTCAGGTGGAGCTCGGGGGGATAAGTGAGCACCCACTCTGGGGAAGGCCTATGGAGACCTGGGGAAGAGTAGGCCAGGCTGGCTCGTTAGGGGGGCACTTTGGTTGTGCTTGGCAGCTGGTGCTGCACCAGCCATCTTGGGATATCCTGAGATACTGTGGATCTCACGTGCCTCAAGCAGATTCATTTGTTTCTGACAAGCCAACCAAAGGTTTCCTGCAGCCACATTCCTTCACTTGTCCTGTCTGATGTCACTTGTACATGAAAGAAGATATTTGTGTAGGAGCAAAATAAACGAGGCTAATGAAATAAGCAGTTATTTAAAGCGGCACCAGCAGAGCATCAGAGATACGCCAAAATGAGGCGATGGTACCCACTGTAGCAAGTTTCATAATTGTGGGGATCCTGACATATTATGGGGGTGCAATCAGCAGTGATGGGCAAACAATGTGCTAAGCCATGGTATCTACCAACTCTACCCAGTTCAAGTTTCAGTTTTTACCTAACATCCTCATCAGGACGAGTGAGTTTAGAATTTGTGGTTATAACCAGCACAGTCCAGTAGGAGGGCAGTTGTCTCATTGCTTCTTTGTTTTTTAACCACTTTTTTCCAATTGGAAGTACACATCAATCTTAATTTTCTGTGTCTTGGGGGGATTTCATTTCATAACCAAACAATACCCCAAAGTTAAGAATATTAACATTGTTCTAAATTCCTTCAGTTTAAAAAAATGACTAGCCAAAATTAAACATCCCTTTCAGATATCAACTGAGCGATCTGGCATTAGCATTATACAGTATCCTTAAACACAGTCTTTTCTGATTAGTAATTTATCTTAAGGAGATAATTGCTCTCCTTGAGTCCACAACATTCCTCTCTGGTCAAAACACATCAGTACATGCACACACACCTGTTGCAAATAATGACACTTAAAGGCAAACTCTATATATCTGTGAGTTCCTTTATCTCTAACAGTTTTGTAGCATATAAAAACAGCTTCAAATTTTTTGCTTAATTTTTGTTTTAGTTCTATTGCTCCTTGCGTCAATTGCATCCATCAAGAGGCAACGCACCTCTCGCACCACAGCAGCCACGCGTGTTGTCTATGGATACATCTTCCCTCCACAACTATCTCCTTCACCTCTAGCAAACTGCTGATCTATTTTTCGGGTCTATAAATCTGTCATTACAAGATTTTGTTATAAATGGAGCTAACAGACCCTTGGGGGATTGCTGTTTTTTACTCAACATAATTTTAAGGCTTAGTCATCCAGGTCAAGGACATCAGTAGTTCCTCCTCTTTTACTGCTGAGAGACAGTTCGTAGTATGACTGTGTCATTGTTTAACTCTTCTGGGTTGTTCTTTGAAACAAACAAAACCAACAAGATAAACAAACTATTAGCTAGGCTCATAGAAGGAAGAAGAGAGAAAACTCAAATAAGATTTTAAAAAATGAAAGGAAAAGTTATAAGCAACATCTCAGAAATTCAGAGGGTTGTAAGAACAGATCTATATTAGTAAGTTCAATAACCCTGGGACATGGACACATTCTTAGAAGCCCACACTCACCCAGGAGTGAAAAGGGAAGAAGCAGAACACCTGAACCAAACAAGGAGACTGAGTGATCAAGTCTCCCACAAACCGAAAATCCAGGAACAGTTTCACCATTATCTACCAAACCTTCAAAGATGAGCTAATACCTATCCTGTTCAAACACTTTCAAAAAGTTGAGAAGGCAAATTACATATTGTGAGAAAGCAAAACATTTCATAAGGCCAACATCACCCTAATGCAAAAACCAAAATCAACACACGCAGAAAGGAAAATGACAGACCAATTTCCCTAATGAATGTCGACACAAAAACCCTCAACAAAATCTTAGCAAACCAGATTCAACAATGCACTCACAGATTATTTAGTGCAATGTTATCTAGTAAGCATTGGTCTGAGGTAGCTCTTGGCTGTGCTGTAAGCTACTAGCTTTGGAGCTTGGGAAAAGTGATGAGAAAATAACAGGAAGCACGTCAGGAGCACCTAAGGGGAGGGCGTTTTGGGGGAGAGACCAGGAGGGGCCTATGACCCCTATGTCTTAGAAACAAGTAGTAGATTCATGGCAGTGTTCAGGACAGAGTGGGTGCTCTTAACCTTTGCCGAATCGATGGGTGGGTGCAATCTAGGACACTCAGGATTCTATTTTATAATTTTGTCAGCAACAACCCCCTTTCAAGATTTCTGACCAACATAAAACTCACTTGTAACATGAGCCTGCTATTGAGATTCAACTTATGAGTCACTTTTAGGACCCACCCCAATTGCTATGTGAGCCTGTCCACTTGTGCACGTTGAAGACTATGGGATCAGTGACTCACTTTTGCTCTCAGGAAAGTGATTGCATGTCAGGCATTATACATTCCTGGGAGTGTGATGCATTGGGGCCATCCTCCATTATCTGGCTGCTAAGTTACCGGAACCACTGGAACATGACTAGGGCAATGCCCTGAACATATCCTACACCCTTTAAATCTTTGGCTATGGTAGTCCCACAATAAAATCTTATTAACTTGGACACATCCCATTTGGGACATGTTCAGGCTATTTTTCTCTGGCCTGTAACCATGTGAAATTTGTCATCTTTCATGAAATGAATTTTTTGTAAGGCAAGTTGAGAAGGTAAATATAATAATAGGAGATATAGTTAACTCCGTGTGGACCTACTTAGCACTAATTACAGGTGAATCATAGCCTGAACCCACACCTTGAACCTATTGCTCAGAGGCATTTTTTAGTGATTATTCTTAATGATGCTTTAAGTGTACTTAAAAAAAAAAGCTAAAGGGCAGTATTCTTTATTCTTTATTTTTTTCTCCACTATTCTTTATATATGCCCTTTGCACCCCATTCTTACTGAACTCATTTTGTTTATTAAATTCCACTAGTTTTTATTTTCCTTTGTTGAATCATCATTTGGAGTTATGTAAATGTCCCTGGTTGTCTTTGTCATTCTGATTTACTTTACTACTCATGATTTCCTCAGACTTCTTCCACTTTGATGTAATGACAAAGAAAAATGAATAGTGTTCCATTAGCATGGATATGCCACATCTTCTTAATCTACTGTTGATGGGCATTTATGTCTTAATTATTATAAATAATGCTGCAGTAAACATTTTACCATATATAGATTTTTTGAGTTGATGGTTCCACATTCTTTGAATAGATACCCAAGAGTGCGATTGCTGAGTCATACTGTATTTCCATTTTTAGTTTTTTAAGGTAAACTCAGATCCTGTTCCATAAGGACTACATTCATTCACATTCCCACTGACAGTGTAATAGGGATCCCCTTTCTCCACATTCTCTTCAGCATCGTCATTGGGGGTCACAGGGGGCTTAGTATGTGCTATTTTCATAGGTATGAGACCATATCTTGTAGTTTTAACCTGCATCTCTCCTATGGGTAGCAACAACGAACATTTCTCTGTGATTCAGTTGGTCTTCTGGGCATCCTCTTTAGTACATTGGCTCTGCAGAGCTGCAGCCCATTTATTAGTTAGGTGGCTAGTCTATTGTTGAATTGAATGCATTTTAAAAATACATCTTAGATATTAATCCCTTGTCATTGTGTAATATGTAAATACTTCCTCCCATTCAGGAGGTTGTCTTTTTAATCTGCTTACATTTTCTTTCACTGCATAATAGCTTATTAATCTGAGGTAACTCCAATTGTTTATTTTTGCTTTTATTCCCTGGCCATAGGGATCCTGACTCCAAAAATACCTCCATCATTGTTGTTATGAAATACATTGCTAATATTTTCTTCTATATAAATTTTATTGTTGTGTACCTTATATCTAGATAGTCAATTCATTATGAATTTAGTCATAATTCATTATGAATTTATTTTTGTGCATGGAGTTAGACAGTGATTCATCTTCATTATTTTCATGTGACCTGGTTTTCTTGGGACCATTTGTTAAAAAGACTCTCCTTTCCCTATTATATGGTCATTGTTCCTTTATCATGAATTCAGTATTGATATGTTTGTGGGTTAATTTCGGGGATCGCATTTCTGTTTCATCTGCCCATGTGTTTATAACAATATCGTATTGTTTTTAGTACTGTTGTTTTATAATATACTTCTAACTGAGATAATGTGATGCTTCCATTTCTCTCCTTTTTTCTCCCTCAGCATTGTATTTTCTATTCAGGGTCTTTTGTGATTCCATACACATTTCAATATCTTTTGTTCAATTTGTTTAAAGAACATTGTGATTCCATGGGGACTGCATTAAATGTATATATCACTGTAGATGGCATAATCATTATTTATTTTTTAAAGATTTATTTATGCAGACACAACTGGGGTTCAGGACAGAGGTGCAGGGGTAGTGAGAGGATTCACCAGAGACAGAGTGGGGAGAGACTAGGCAGGTAGATGAAGTACACTGCTGAGAGAGCGGCCAGTGAGACAGGAGGGGTCTGCTGAGTCATGTGGGTCACCTCCCTAGCCAGGTATCGAACTCATGTTGAAGTGGCTGTGGCCAGCTTCGTAGTGCTGTGTCTTAGCCCATTCTGCCACGAGGGAGGGCCCAGATAGTCATTTATATTGATTGTCCCCATTCCCAAACATGCGATGTCTTCACATTTCCTCATGTCACTATTTAAATCCTTCAATAACATCTTGCAGTTCTCATTGTACAAGTTCTTCTCCTCCTTGAAAAGGTTAATTCCAAGGCATTTGCTGAATTCCTCTGGCTTAGTATTAAGACAATGTTGTCATCAAAATGTGTTAGGGAGCATTTTCTCTGGAGTTTTAGAAACAATTTGAATAAGATAAGCTTTTGTTTTATGGAAAATTTTTCATTGCTGATTCAATTTCCACACCTGTGATTGGTTTATTCACCTCTGTAACTGTTATGTAAGATATCATATAGGTGAGCAAATGAGAGAGCAGAGATATTAATCAAGAGATGAGTACTTTATTAGACAAGTGAGAGCAGAGAGTTATTTGGACAAAGGCTGTGACCGTGGAGGCAGAGGAAAGTGAATGTACTGGGAAAGTTGCAGAGACATAGTTGAAACTTATTAATGGTCTAGACATGCAACGTGAGAGAAGGGATTAATCACAGCTCACCTAGAATTTTTAAGCAGCAACTGAGTCTGTGAAGTGCAATTTCCTCATATAAAGAAGACTGAGAGGGAGGGAGAGGGAGAACAAGGGTTCTGCTTGACCGTGTCAACTTGGACTTAGATAACAGTCACCCAATGAAGGTCTCAAGTGGGAGTCTGAAACTCAGTGGGAAAGTCAGGCTGTAGATAAAAATGTGTTGTGTTGTTCTTGCTCATTGTTAGGCTGGGTGAAATCACAAGGGGGGAGTGTGTAGAAAAGTGCAGGGTAAATGAAAGAGTGGAGGTCAGAGCATCATAGCTGCTCAATATCACAGGCCAGTAAGAAGGATAGTTTCTAGCATTTAAAAATGGGATTATTGGGTATCCGATTTATCCTTTAATTATAGTAACTACTGCTGACTTGCTCTACAAAGAGTGGCATCAATTTATGATTTTACTGTATTTCTAAGTCTTCTGTTTCCATACATTCCCACACAGTCCCACCTGGCTATGACGTCATTTTTTTTTTAACCAATATGTTAAGAGAAAGCACTTTTTTTAGGTTGCTTTTCTAATTACAGTTAACGTGAACATGTTCTCTCATGTCTGTGAGCCCTCTCTGGAGCCTGCCGTCCACCCCAGCCTGGCCCGCTGCCGCCAAGTCCACAGGGGCCTCTGCTTCATTCTTTGTGTTGTCCAGTGACTGTGGCTCCATCTCTGCCCTTGCCTTCTCATTCTGGGGTTTGAAACCCCATCTACAAGGGTCACCGAGGAACTACAGAGAAAGGAAGTCTAGACTCCTCCACAGAGCTTCTGAGTCAGACTGAAGGGGTCTACTGACACCAAGAGCAGCACCCAGCCCTGGGCAGGGCTCCGTGGCTTCCTGCAGGTGACAGCTAACCTCCCCGCTCGGGGAGACATGGCTCCTCTGTCTATGGAACAGTGGAGAGGCAAAGCAGTTTCAAGGCCTACTTGCTTGTTGAACGTTCTCTTGTGAAACATACATACCATGGGCAGTGCTGGGATTGGGAGTCAGCAGTGCATGGAAAGAAAAGTCCAGGGATTCAAAATATTTAAAAGCCAATAAGTAAAAGTCATCAACTAATCAGAAGGGACCCTTAGGGCCAAGGGCAGATTCACCTCAGAGCAGAAGCCTGAAGCTCTCTCTAGTGTTCTTGGTTTACTAGCTTTTACGTTTTCTTGCAGGATCTTAGGGAGGAGGTATTGAGGGAGATCAGGGTAGTGTGGTTTGTCAACAGAACTTCAACATCTTAACAGCTAGCAGAGCAAAACTGGGATTACCAGCTGAGCACGTGCTGACCTGGGGTCTCCTCCCACCCCCCAGCCATGGGAGAGATCACTAAGTAGTGTCAAAGCAAGGCAATGTTTTCTGAAAACCTTTACCTATTTACAAAAGAAAAGCAAGCCATCAAAGAAAAAGTAGAGGACAGAAGTGTCAAGAAAGTTAAAAGTTTCCATAAGCCACCAACCAGGTAATTACTACTAATATATGTTAATCTCTATATGTAATTTCTACATAATTGACCTTACAGAGTATATGCCTTTATACATAACTATACATATATTTAGTCATTTAAGCAATGTTACCAATCCCAGCAGTGATACCTGAAGGGTTACGCCCTTTTCAGATACGCGCTTGTCCCAAACAGTCTTTTTTCAAGAAAGAGAGATGGAAGAGTAACACAGCTGCATGCCTGGGGTCCTGCCTGCGCCCACTGACCATTTCCGCTTACAACTGGCCATGCTTGTGGATTCCACCTTGCCTTTCTATCCTTCAGCCGTCCTTCTGAGACTTCCTCGGGTCTGGATTGGACCATATGAAATCTCTTTTCATTAGGGAATGATGCAGAAATGGTGCCTGTGGTGGGACCCACCGATGGAGAGGAGCGGAGAGACACAGGGCTGGTTCATGTCCAGCGCCAGGGACGACTGCTCTATGAAAGAAGCTGCCCTGTCTGTAACAGATGATGCCGAAACGCGGGGGATAGAGTGAGTCAGCACACGTAGTTTACGTATGTAACTGGCATCTGAACAAAGGTGGGGTCTGTCAGGAGGAAGCCGAGAGGTGACACAGGGAGGGTCAATGGGGAACATCCGAACCTACCAGGAAAAGGAACCAAAGTGCTGCCCCCAGTTCGGAAGATATAATTACTTGATTTCTCAGTGGCTTCCTGACCAAGGTAAACAATAGGAGGAAGAACTCTCTCATCATGGTATAAAAGGAAGGGGAGCAAGGAGATTTCCAGATTCAAAACAGACACTCTCCTGCAACCCACCCAGCAGCGCCCCTCCACCACCATGGTCAACTCCTGTTGCGGCTCCGTGTGCTCTGAGCAGGGCTGCGGCCAGGGCTCCTCCCAGGAGACCTGCTGCCCCCCTTGCTGCCAGCCCAGCTGCTGCCAGCCCACCTGCTGCACCACCAGCTGCTGCAGGCCCAGCTGCTGCATCTCCAGCTGCTGCCAGCCCTGCTGCCGCCCCAGCTGCTGCGGCTCCAGCTGCTGCCGCCCCACCTGCTGCATCTCCAGCTGCTGCC